AGTAAAGAAAGAAAAGGAAATTACAATTGCAAGAGAGGTAATTACAAAAGCCTTAAAGATTTCTTTTGATGGCATAAACTGGGAAACAATACTGAACGAAGAGAATCTAGATATGGAATATTCTATAAACAAGTAAAAAAAATGTATCAAGATTTAAAACTGAAGCAAGAAATGGCTAAAAGTGGTTTAATGATTAATGCAAGAAAATGAGAGAAAACAAACAACTTTTTTGAAGAAGGTTCACAGAAGACATAGCTCTCAGGCAGCATGAAAGGCATAGAGGATATAATAATACCCCAAAGCTCTTCTTTAACTACATAAATTGTAAGACTAAAAGTAGAAATCAAATTAGCGCCATCAAAGGCAATAACATCATTTATACTAAGGAAGAGGAAATGTGTGAAATCCTTAATGAGAAATTTTAGTGTTTGCTCAGGACTCAAAATATCGTAAATATCATACTCGAAAAGAAATAAAAGCCCTACAAGACTAAAGCAGAGGGAATGTGCCGAAGAATTATGTACTCAGTTATTGTTAATATTCCAAAGTTCAGTTAGACAAGGAAAACTACCAAAAGATTGGAAACTTGCCAAAGTTGCATCTATATTCAAGAACGGCGACAAACAAACTCCTCTAAATTATAGACCAGTAGTGCAGTATGCAAACTGTTAGAAAGGATAATTAGGAAACAGTGGGTTGAAGTACTTGTAAAACACGATATATCAAATAAACAATTTGATTTTAGGGAAGTAAGGTCATGCATAGCAAATCTCTGATTCTATGATAGAGTTTCTTAACTTTTACAAGAAAGAGACGGCTGGGTGCATTGTGTATACTTAAACTTTAAGAAAGCATTTGATAAGGTGTCTAATAAAAGACTATTATGGAAATTAGAACACCTAGGTGGAGTGAAAGGCAAACTCCTCGAATGGAAGGCTTCCTTCAAGAAAGTAAGTTGAAAACTGTAATTAGAGGGAAGCGACAAGCAACGGATGACTAGTGGAGTACCTCAAGGATTGGTCTTGGCGCCGATTATGTTTACTATTTTCATAAATGATTTAGGGTCGAACATAAGCACAGGTATTTATCTGAATATGTTTGTAGACGATGCAAAATTGCAAAGAAGGATAACAGACGATCTCCTGCAAATGCCTCTAAAGTGACATCGATAACTTATTCATTTGGGGTTGTACATGGGAAATGGAGTTGATAATCATAAACAGGAATTAAGCCCAAATGATCATATAAATGACAAGGTTCATAAAATGCTAGGGCCGATTGCCAACATGAAGAGGGCATTCGTGTATGTGGACAAAGACATGATAAAGATCATTACAGCCATCCCAAGACCTAGTCTTGAGTATGGTGCAGTGGTATGGAGTCCACACTTTAAAAAAAATAAAATAAAGATAAACTAGAAAGAGTTCAAGGAAAAACCACAAGATGGACACCTACTCTAGGAGCTATGAAGAAAAACAAAAATAATAGGTCATACTACTTTGGAGGAAAGAAGAAAAAGAGGTGACATGATAATGATGTTCAGCTATATTACAGGAAAGGTGAAGTTAAATAACGATGACTATAATTTTGAACACAAGAAGGATGAGAGGACACAGCAAAAAGTTGAAAGTAAAAAGAGACGAGAAGGATGTCAGGAAGTTCAGCTTCACAAACAATTGAAACAGAACAATCTCCCAAATAATGTTATGTGTGCCAAAAATGTGCATCAATTTGAAAAGTTATATGATAATTTAAATATACCAGACAGGACCATCTGAGCTTAGCTCTTCTTTCGTATTGAATCCACTTGGTAAGAACACACAAAGAGAATGAGAGTAGGGGGGAGGCATCCTTAAATCCTCATCTTCATATTTTGTTTGGATTCAAGAAGAGTTTTCCTTTAAGAAAACATGGCTCACGTTCGAAGTGTTCGTCCAATACCCTGGTATTACAAGCACCTTCATGCAGGTAATCTTCTGCCTTGCTTACGAGGCTCTCCAGGTGAGTGTCGTGGGCGTGTTCTTCCAAGGCTTTCCTCCATGCACATAAACTTTTACTTGGGTGAAGGCCATTGGCATCAACCTTCGACACAAGTCGGACGACAAAGGCATCTCTCAGCTCTTTCCGTGGGCTTTCTCGGGGATATTCCCATTTCTGCATCTCTGTCATGTGGAAAAAGAAGAACTTGTGTTTCCTTTTCAGAGCAAGGCAAGAGGTATCCGTGAAGTAAGAATAAATATCCGATAAATGAAGGGGTTCTCCATCTCCACAGTAGAAGGTGTTGCAGTCTTTAGTAAGGCCTAAGATAATGACAACTGCTGAGTCGAGGTCTGAATGTTCCCTCCTTACTGAGAATTCTTCTAGGCAAGATTTGGCCTCAGAGTTCGTTGGATTACTACACATTTCTGTCCTGTAACCAATGGCACTATAAAGCTGTGATATCATTTTTGCATTGTACTGTCGCCATGGGCAGTCTGATAGCCCTTCACTTTCGTATTTG